GTTAAGCTTGCTCAGTCTACCCTTTTACTACTTATCAGCCATTGGGCTTTCCTCCGTCTAACTATTCTGCCCTACTCCTGGCTCACCACCTGACAATATCATTCTGTGTCTGCTATACCCTGAGTTGGATCCAGCAGTCAATCAATCAGTCGAAATAAAATAAAGGGATAAAGGGGTAAGGGGAACATGCAGTGCAGCGGGGGCTTAACACTGAGCGCAAATTATGGGATGGTGAAGAGGTACTTTCCCTTTGACTGAGAGGCTGTTTCTGGGCTTCAATCGGGTGTTTGTGTATCCGACATGCCCAAAGGCAAAATTTCACAACTTTATTAGTTGTCTCCTGGGAAAAGTCCGCAAGAAGGAGGGAGATGTATAGTTGTTCAGATCTTCCTGTTAGAGTTGACAGAACTGGAGCTATATATTGAGATTGGATATCGTTGTAAAAATGGGCACCACAGCAGAATGTGTTTGATAGACTCTACTTTCCCTGCATTACATGGGCAGAGCCATTAAGAGAGTGGGACGTGATGATATTTGCCTTCCAGGAGGGCTGACGGTAGAACATTAAAATGTGAAAGAGTAAAGATTCTCCAATATTTGGAGATCATGAGGAATCTGAGGTAACCTGCTGGTTGAAAGCTTTTAGAATATTGGAGAATAATGGGATGTTTCCGTGTCTGTGCTCTGTCCAGTTGTAGAGCTTGATCCCAGAGACGCTGTTTAACTGTTTCTTTCTGCTTTTTTGTGCCCAAGGCACAGTAAGACTCGGGGGGGGGGGAAAGGCCAGTCTCCTGGAGTTTTCCCTCTATTGCTCTTTGCCAGGCTGACCAGTGGCTATCATCAAGGATCAAGGGAGCTAGGCCCACCAGATTGAAGATGAGTTTTAATCAGTAGGATTCAGCGGTAATTTTTACTCACTGAAGGAACTTTCTCACCTCTGCTGGACCACTGCAGCCCAAAATGATCAAGGGACCCTCCACAACAGTATCGGGGAAACTGGAAGTCTTATTTTACTTACTTACTTCATTTATACTCTGCCTTGCTCTCCGGTGGGCACCCAAAGCAGCTTATATTATTCACCTTCATTTTATCCTCGCAATAATCTTGTGAGGTAGGTTAGGCTGAGTGTATGTGAGTGGTCCAAGGTCACCCAGCAAGCTTTCACGGCAGAGAGGGGATTTGAACCTGGGTGTCTCACATCCTAGGCCAGCACCATTGTGACTATAAAATGTTGGCTCTCGGAGAGGGAGAAGACATTAATGGAAACTGTTTCTTTTTCCATTAGTGGAACTCTGCTGCTGTATTCAACCTACAGTAAACTAGAATGTTTTATTCTCCTTTCACATCTAAAATGGCAAGTCCTGCTTTTCGTCAGGCTTCATACTAACCAAAAGAAGCCAAACTAGACTTCACTCTTCAATTACACAATGCAACTGCATCAATGGCTGCAGCAATTTTTTTTTAACTAACTCAATTTAATTAAAGAATTATGAAAAACCCCAGTGCAGTTTATTGTAGATAATTATACCCCAGGGAACATGAACAGCATAAGGTATAAGACACACTCTAATCCCCACAAGTGCTGTTGAGCTCATGACAGTGAAAACGGTCTAAAATTGGCTAATTGCAGTGATAGTCACAATCAAAGTTAAAATTTCATGGCTCAAATTATGCATTTTTAATTTTTTCCCAGAAACCACAAAACCAGTGCTTAGACAGGAAGCAAAAATAATAAATATACAGAAGAGTTTCCCCTATAGTTTCCTTATGCCATTTTCGACTTGGTTTCTCAGAAGTAAGCTAACAGGTACAACTGGTATGATTGAGTCAGGGTAGAAATGATCTCAGAAGCTAAGCAGAGTCAGCCCTGATTGGTACTTGGATGGGAGACCACCGAGGAAGTCCAAGGTTCCTACGTGGAGATGGGCAATGGCAAACCCTATGAGGCCGCCATAGGTCAGCTGTGACTTGACAGCACTTTTTACCACCAGAAGTCATCATGTATTAACCGGTAAATGTTGGTTTGCTTTCACTGCAACAGACCTGGCTAGCATGTACTTGACTGCAAAAGTATAGTAGAAAATAATTAAAAAGGTAAACTCAGTTCAGTGAGGTCTTGCTTCCTAATAAATATACTCAGGAGTAGGGTCTCAAACATTGCCTCCCTGAGGCCAGATCTTCATGGTCAGTTTTGAATAGATGTAATAAAGACACCATGAGATGACTTTTCCCTATCATTTTTTGTGTTAACTTCTTATAAGTCCAATTCATGTGGTGGAATATAACACTCATTATTTTCTGAAAAGATCCAATGTTTGGTAGCAAGAAACATAATCTCACTGTCCAGCCTAACCAAGATTTCTCAAGTGGATCTAGGGAAAACGAAGCTTCCCTTAACTTGGAAGATGGACGTTTCTTAACTGAAAATCCAGACTCTGAAACTTTTCCTTATTAAATAAGATGTTGCCATTTTCTGAAGTTTCTTCAGCTCTGAAATATTTTAACACTGTCGCTTAATTAACCAACTTTAATTAAATGGTCCTCAGTGGTCTCCAGCACAGATCTTAAAACAGTAAGAACAGCGAACAGTCAACTCCCCCAGAACACCAGACAATGAGAAACAGAACAGAACTAACCCAAATTCTTAGATGTGCAACAGCACCACCCACTGGTAGGGATGCTTATATCACCATTGCAGTTTAGGTTGTGGAGATGGAATGCCCAGCACTGTTGAATCTCCTGTTCCTGGGTTTGCTGTCAAGGTATACCTTGTGAGCACCCAGAGGCACCTAGCTGGCTGATGTTGGAAACACAATGATGGAACCTATGGCCTTAGTCTGATTTAGTAAGGAAATTCTTCTTAACTGAAAGCTAATTTTGGTTAAGGCACTAAAGTAGGTAAGACTAGCTGTTTTCTATATTAAAACATAGAAAGTCTAGTGCTGGTCTTTATGCTCTTAATGAAAATACCATTGATTATTCCCCCATGCTGGATCATCACGTCATTCATCAAAATTTTGGCTAGATAATGGCTTAGTTCAGAAAGACATATTGTGAAATCTTGAATTAACCTAACAATGCTTACCATGGTGGTCCAAACGTCAGGTGACATCTATGGTTGGTTAAGGTAAATCAAACCAGGATCTGAGAACACCATTTGAAGCTGGTTTATTAACCATGGTTAAACTATGGTTTTGTGCAAAGCAGTCCTCATCCTCCCCCCCAACACTGCTCTTGCCGGCAGGGGGAGGGCTGGGATACCAGCCACGTTTCTTTGAGGGAGGTGGAGGAGAGAGCGAAGGTGATGCAACCAGCATTTGTGAAGGCAAACTAGGACTTGAAAGTTCGTGGAAAGTTCATGCCATTTGACCTGCCATGAACTTCAGTTTGCAAACCACGATCCGGCCAAAATTCATCACGAACGTAAGTTTCTGAGCAGGTTTGTGCTCATCCCTACTCCTGTCACAAATACCCATTGTTTTAGGTTTCAGCCTGAGAAACCCAGAGGGAGAAACCTGAGTGTACACCCACTTAACTCAATGGATGGTGTTTGTTTGCACTGTAAAAGGTGTCAATTGGATTTCCCAACCTTTTTTATCTTGCTTAGTTGAGACGACTTCATTGAAAGACATAATGCATTTTTTTTGCCTCTGAAGAATTGCCCCAAGCAATTGCCAATGAGCGTACTATTGTAATATCCTCTTTTGATGAGCTTTCTGCTGGAAAAGGAAAATGACTCATTTCTTTCAGATTGTGACCAAAGAAAAAAAATTATTGTGTTGCTTACATCCTTGTTTTTTTGAGCCAGTTCATGCAATATATTTTTTGCCTGTAAAAACAGTACTCATGCTCTGGTAAGAGAACTAAGGGCCTGATCTCTGCTTATGCTGTTTTCTCAAGTAACTTACAAGGTATGTGACTCCTGAAAGCTGTAAATTTGTAGTAAAATGGGTACCAAGATCAAGATAATGCATACTACAGTACTCCCCATTACTACGCATGGATGTGGAAGCTGGACAGTGAAGAAAGCTGACTGGAAGAAAATTGATTCATCTGAAATGTAGTGTTGGAGGAGAGTTTTATGGATACCATGGACTACCAGAACGACAAATGAATTTGGACTACCAGAACGACAGCCTGAATTTGCTGTAGGAACTAAAATGACTAAACTGTGGCTATCATATTTGGTCACATTGTGAGAAGACAATAAAAGCAGGAAAAGTTGAAGGCAGTAGAGAAAGAGGAAGACCCAACATGAGATGGATTGACTCAATAAAGAAGCCACAGACTTCAGGTTGCAACATCTGAGCAAGGCTGTCCATAATAGGATGCTTTAGAGGGTTCCCATGCCCCCAGCCACCGGCAGGGGGAGGTCATTCATTCATAAGGTTGCCATGAGTTGGAAGTGACCTGATGGCACCTAACACACGCACACAATGGAACTGCTGAGCAAGGTATTTTAATAAAAGTATCAGAGTTGTCGTTTCAATGTATGTGGTGGTGGTGGGGAATTATTGCACTGTGTTTACTATACTGTAGCAGCCGGAATAGCCCCAAAAAGCCGGAGCTTATCACAGCTTGAAATCTAATCAGGGTCAGACATAGTTAGTATTTGTATGGGAGACCACCAAGGAAGATCAAGGTTGCTATGCTACAGGCAGGCAGTGGCAAACCACCTCTGCTCATCTTTTGCCTTGAAAACCCCAAGAGGGGTTACCATGAATCAGTTGCAATCTAACGGCACTTAATGGTTATTATTTTTTACTGTACTATATTCTTTATTGCATTTATTACACTGTTTTGTTGCATTTTTAAAAAAATTATAACCTGTTTTGAGTCTCAGGAAGAAGGGCAGACTATAAAGTCAGCAAATAAAGAAACATGCCACAACAGCTTTTATTGGGCTCAAACTGAAGGGGAGGCTTAAAGCATTCCCCCCCCCCTTAGAACCTTGCTAGCTTTACCGTTCTCAGCAAGCATCATGAGATAAAAGCACTTACTTTTTGACTTCTTGGACGTAGTCTGCATTCCGGTCAAAGAGGTGAGTCACTGAATCTTTGATCGCCTCATGCTTGAAGGAGGAAGCTGTTCCGAATACGGTAACGTTGGGGACAGTCGAACAGAGCTGTGCCACAGCTTGGCCCTGCAAAAGTCAGTTGCTCAAAATAAATAAATAAATACATAAGAACTTGCAAGAGCCAGTGTGGAGTAGTGGTTAAGTGTTACACAAGGACCTGGGAGACCCAGATTCAAATCCTCCTTCTGTAAGGGAAGTTTTCTGGGTGACCTTGGGGTAGTCATTCTCTCTCAACCTAATGTACCTCACAAGGTTATTGTGAGGATAAAATGGCACAAAGAATAATGTAACCTACTTTGGGTCCCCACTGGGGAGAAAGGCAATATACATACACACACAAACATATACACACATACACATAAATATACTATATGAGGTAAATAAATAAGTTATATTATGATGCTCCCCCCCACATTCACACACAAGTGTGGGACCTGCAACTTGCAGAGGGGGTCTCTGTCTCTCTTTGTTTGAACAGACATGTCCCTCTCCCCTGTTACTTCTTCTTTCTATTGTAGAAAGATCTGTCATATCTGTTCAGAGAGAGAGAGACAGGAAGAAAGAACATTATAATATTATTATGGTTTCAAACATGAGATTATGTCATTTCTCCACTCCTGTATGTCTGCAATATTCTCCAATCCCGGGATCAACCATTAGTCCTACAATAGGTACACCAGACTTTAGCAGGCTGTTGTTATAACCCCAGATTTAACTCATGTGTACATCATGAGAGAAAACTGGAGACATTCTGGTTGTTTTAATGTAAACATCAGAGATAGCTGTGTGTGGTCCACTGACCTCCACAAACTGTCCTCCTTTGTAAAGAGGATGAGGAAATGAAATGTAGTTTTCAGAGGTTGGCCTCTATGCAAGTCTAACAATAGGACATTGTTCCACTACTGCTTTTATTATAATTACACTGCAGAGAGTCTGAGCAAGATCAGTAGAAACGGCAACACTGACCAGATTATAATTTAAACAGGAGAGAAAGCAAATGGCTAGAGAAAGAGAGTATTGTTAGTGCTGAGTGTTGCCCTGGATAGACCATAATACCCAAACAGTGCTCCAAGGAAATCCTAAATATGCACTTGGAATGAACTGGAGTCAATAGAAAACATTGACCAGAGTCCAGTGAAGTTGCATTAAATGGCTCTAGAATGTAAGAAATGAATGTTTTGGACAGATCTCCTGATTCTTCCTTCTTTAGAATCTGGGCTATCGCTGTTGGGGTTGGTTAGTGCTAGAAGAGAAATTAATCATAAAATGACAGCCTTGATGATATGAATGGACCCTTTAAGAGATGGGTGGTGAAACAAGACCTACAGTTATTGCTAAAAACCATGGCTCTGAACTCCCTCATGGATCACTGCCTTGTCGTGGCGAGGGGGCTTGCGTGGTTCGATGAGGCTGTGGGCTATGCTGTGGAGGGCCACCCAAGACGGACAGGCCACATCAGAGAACTCAGACCAAGTGTGATCCACTGGAGAAGGAAATGGCAACCCACTCCAGTATTTTTGCCAAGAAAACCCCATGGACAGTATCAAAAGGCTAATATGACGCTAGAAGATGAGCCCCTCAGGTCGGAAGGTGTCCAATATGCTACTGGGGAAGAGCAGAGGGCAAGTACAAGTAACCCCAGAAAGAGTGAAGCGGCTGGGCCAAAGCTGAAAGGACCCTCAGTTGTGGATGTGTCTGATGGTGAAAGGAAAGTCCAATGCTGCAAAGAACAATACTACATAGGAACCTGGAATGTAAGATCTATGAATCAAGGTAAGCTTGACGTGGTCAAAAATGAGATGGCAAGACTGAACATCGATATCCTAGGAATCAGTGAACTAAAGTGGACAGGAATGGGCGAATTTAACTCAGAAGACCATTATATCTACTACTGTGGCCAGGAATCTCGTAGAAAAAATGGTGTGGCCTTTATAGTCAACAAGAGAGTGCAAAAGGCAGTACTGGGATACAATCTCAAAAATGACAGAATGATTTCTGTCCGATTCCAAGGCAAACCATTCAACATCACAGTAATCCAAGTCTATGCCCCAACCACTGATGCAGAAGAGGCTGAAGTGGACCGGTTCTATGAAGACCTACAACACCTCCTAGAACTAACACCAAAAAATGATGTCCTCATCATCATAGGGGACTGGAATGCTAAAGTAGGAAGTCAAAAGGTAACTGGAATAACAGACAAGTTTGGCCTTGGAAAGCAAAATGAAGCAGGGCAAAGGTTAACAGAGTTTTGTCAAGAGAACACACTGGTCATAGCGAACACCCTTTTCCAACAACCTAAGAGGCGACTCTACACATGGACATCACCAGATGGGCAACACCGAAATCAGATTGACTATATAATTTGCAGTCAAAGATGGAGAAGCTCTATCCAGTCAGTAAAAACAAGACCTGGAGCTGACTGTGGTTCAGATCATGAGCTACTCATTGCAAAATTCAGACTTAAACTGAAGAAAATTGGGAAAACCACGAGGCCATTCAGGTTTGACCTAGATCGCATCCCTGATGAATATACAGTAGAGGTGAAGAATAGATTCAAGGGTCTGGATTTGATAGATAGAGTGCCTGAAGAACTATGGACAGAGGTTCGTGACATCGTACAGGAGGCAGCAATCACCACCATACCAAAGAAAAAGAAATGCAAGAAAGCAAAATGGCTTTCTGATGAGGCTTTACAAATAGCAGAGGAAAGAAGGAAAGCGAAAGGCAAAGGCGAAAAGGAAAGATTTACCCAACTGAACGCAGATTTCCAGAGAACAGCAAGGAGAGATAAGGAGGCCTTCCTGAATGAACAGTGCAAAGTAATAGAAGAAAACAATAGAATGGGAAGGACTAGAGATCTCTTCAAGAAAATTGGAGAAATCAAGGGAGCGTTCCATGCAAAGCTGGCCATGATAAAGGACAAAAACGGTAGGGACCTAACAGAAGCAGAAGAGATTAGGAAAAGATGGCAAGAATACACAGAAGAACTATACAAGAAAGACCTCAATGTCCTTGACAAACACGACGGTATAATCACTGACCTTGAGCCAGACATCCTGGAATGTGAAGTTAAATGGGCCTTAGAAAGCATTGCTAACAACAAAGCTAGTGGAGGTGATGGTATTCCAGCTGAGCTATTCAAAGTCTTAGAAGATGATGCTGTTAAAGTGCTGCACTCCATTTGCCAGCAAATTTGGAAAACGCAACAGTGGCCACAGGATTGGAAAAGATCAGTATACATTCCAATCCCAAAGAAGGGCAATGCCAAGGAATGTTCAAACTATCGCACAATTGCACTCATATCACACGCTAGCAAGGTCATGCTCAAGATCCTACAAGCTAGGCTTCAACAGTACGTGGATAGAGAACTACCAGAAGTACAAGCTGGGTTTCGAAGAGGTAGAGGAACGAGAGATCATATTGCCAACATTCGCTGGATTATGGAGAAAGCAAGAGAGTACCAGAAAAATATCTACTTCTGCTTCATTGACTATGCTAAAGCCTTTGACTGTGTGGATCACAACAAACTATGGCAGGTCCTTAAAGAGATGGGAGTACCAGACCACCTCACATGTCTCTTGAGAAACCTGTATAAGGGCCAAGAAGCGACAGTTAGAACCGGATATGGAACAACTGATTGGTTTAGCATAGGAAAAGGAGTACGACAAGGATGTATACTGTCACCTTGCTTATTTAATATATATGCAGAGTACATCATGCGAAATGCTGGCCTGGATGAATCACAAGCGGGAATTAAGATTGCTGGGGAAAAGATCAACAACCTCAGATATGCAGACGATACCACTCTAATGGCAGAAAGTGAAGAGGACCTAAAGAGCCTCTTGCTCAGGGTAAAAGAGGAGAGCGCAAAAGTGGGTTTGAAGCTTAACATCAAAAAAATTAAGATCATGGCATCTGGCCTCATCACTCCTTGGCAAACAGAAGGGGAAGTCGTGGAAGTAGTGACAGACTTCACATTCCTGGAATCCCAGGTCACCGCAGACTGTGACAGCAGCCATAAAATTAAAAGACGCCTGCTCCTTGGGAGGAAAGCGATGGTGAACCTAAACAGCATGATAAAAAGTAGAGACATCACCCTGCCAACAAAAGTCCACATGGTCAAAGCAATGGTATTCCCAGTAGTCATGTATGGCTGCGAGAGTTGGACTATAAGGAAGGCCGAGCGCCGAAGAATAGATTCTTTTGAACTATGGTGCTGGAGAAGACTCTTGAGAGTCCCTTGGACTGCAAGAAGATCAAATCAGTCAATCCTAAAAGAAATCAACCCTGACTGTTCCCTGGAAGGCCAGATAATGAAACTGAAGCTCAAATACTTTGGCCACCAAATGAGAAGGGAGCACTCACTGGAGAAGACCCTGATGCTGGGAAAGATTGAAGGTCAAAGAAGACGGGGACGGCAAAGGATGAGATGGTTAGACCGTGTCATAGATGCAACGAACATGAAATTGAGCAAACTTCAGAGGACGGCGGAAGACAGGAAGGCCTGGTGTGATTTGGTCCATGGGGTCGCGAAGAGTTGGACTCGACTGTGCGACTGAACAACAACAATGGCTCTGAATCTTCCCCATCATGTCTGGTAAGTAAAAATGGGTGCTTTAGCATTCTCATGCTTTGATTTCCCCTGCCTCTGGTTGACACTAGTGAGGATGGAGAAAGTGAAAGCATGATGACATCACCCCATGCATTTTCATTTCTAAACACAGTGATGCATGGCTGTTGCTTTCTCGGAAGCTGCAGGTTGCTTATAATGGCTGACTCCTGACAATGGTTGCGTTCAGACTGGCAGTTTGGTCTGATATAGGCACATTTCACAAATGGATTAAATGGGCCCGGTCACACAGCCACATCTGTCAGGTGTTCCCCGGGTGTACTCACCCCATCAGAAAATGACTTGGAGCTGGGTTAAAAAGCCACCACCTCCAAAGTGGTGTTTTTGTTTCCCCGTGCATTCATTGTGCATGGCTGGATGTCTGAACACGGGGGAGTGTGCGCAGAATGGATGTGGCAGTCTGAACCTGCAGATCCATTCTGCCGCTTAGGGAGTT